GTGGCTTTTCTTCGCATATGATACCTCTTCGTTATATACTTGGAAAAATATATACGAAATAATAATTTGTGGTTGTGTAATATAATCTCTTTACGATCTATCTCGGATCAATTTCGTTTATTATTAAAGATAGAAAGTAAGTAGTTTTCTATTTAATTTCGCGATTATTTTATCTCTCGTGACGGTTTTTACGTTATATAATATATTGAAAATTGAATACGATGAAAAAAAGTAGTGAGAAACAAAGTTCTTAGCTTAAAGCCACTGTCACGGTTATAAATATATATGTATATATGCAAAGATACATATAAATACACGTGAACATATACATAAAGAGTCTTATATAGTTTCTCGTAGCTGGCTCCCCTCTCTCCCCGTGCGTCTATCTGAACGCACACGTAGCCCCAACCGTGCACACACCTGTGCACACATGGCGCACACCTGCACGCGCGTATAGATGTAGGCGTGCTCCTTCAACGATCCTTGCTGCCTCGCTGCCGGTAAGATCGTCACTTTCTGTCCAACTATTGTGTCTACGTGTACAGTACGTGTATTACGTATTATACTCCATCATCGTGGAATCTCTTTGACGCAGATCTCGTGACTCTGTCTATTGCGCGCGGGATCGAATTGTATACGAGAGTACACGAGACGCGTGTCTGACTGATTGAAAGAGGAGATTGCGAGCTTTTGCTGATTTATTTTTATTTTTTTTCTTTTTCGCTATTTTCTTTCGATCGGTGTTGTTTCGGGTTATTGTTGATTCGAGTTTCATTTGCACACGCGCTGAATTTACCACGAGATAGGGAGATTGGAAACGCGCGCAGACAGCAAATAGTCGCGGCGTTTGCCAACGTTTGCCAATGTTTGAGGTAATGCCGGGGTGAGTTAAAGAGAATTCGTTGCTTGCTTGCTTGCTTGCTTGCTTGCTTTCGTTGGATAATGTTATTGTTGTTGCCAGAAGAATTTTATTCTTCTCTCTAATTCCATTTTTTATCGCGTTTATTTCTTTTCCAACTCGACGAAAGAAAATTTTCTTATTTTTTGAGAATAGAAGAAGTTTTGAGATTCTTAATATCTCCGATTATTTTTTATTATAGCGAGAACTTTGAAATTGAAACGATCGAAATGTAAATTCTCTTATATTATTTTTATAATTGTATTTTGACGGAGATTGGCTTCGGGAAATATCAGTTATTCGATTCAATAATTGATTTTCAATTCTTACGTGTATTTTTCGCTAAATATTTTTAATTTCAATACCGGTTATACAGAATAATTTCGATATCTTTGGCATTGTCGTGATACTTGATACGATGTGCATCGATCGCATATCGTGCATACTCTTCGATGCGAATCAATAATTATTTGAATTATATTGCTCGAGAAATGCGAAAAAGATATTAGGATATTTAACTTATGCGTGCAATGCGAGGATATATATATGGTGTACTGATAGCTTGATAATCGGATCCTTTGGGCGCAATTTATGGATTTACATACAGAAATCGATTGGAATGGATCGGATTCGATTGGACTAATTGCGTTTCCGGGTATGGGCAAAATTGGATGGAAATTCGAAGGGAAGAGAATTGTAGTTCTGGAGAAGCGAGAAGGACGTTCTATCCTTGTAAGGCTATTTATATTTGCTCGTTTTTATATTTTTTAATTAATTTTAGGAAAATGTTTATTCGATTTTTTCAGTTATCTTCCAACGTACATTTCATCAATTAAATAATATTTTTTAACCATTTTGGTCATTCTGTTCAAGCTTCATTATAAAAAAGTATATTTAATATCTCAGAATGGGAGAAGGAATGAAATTAAACGGAAATTATCTCGCCTTGAAACTTGTTAACATTTGAATTGGTTTATTATTTTATACGATGGTTTTACAAATCGAATTACATCCTTGTTTCTCGAAGCTAAACATATCGTCTTCAACAATATATCAACATGGTAACGTAAAGTCGAAAGAGAGATAATATATACGAGAGTTTCTAAGAATACTTAATTCAGCATTTTAATACAAGCTGTTACCAGGATAATTAACTAGAAAGTATCGTAAGACGACGATTAACACAAGACTCGTTTCTTCCGTTTGAAGTAAAATTTTCTCGCGTTCGATAGTTATTTCTCGATCATTTAAAAATTACGACGCTAATTTTTTAAAAATTATTCACGACATTCAATTTCACATTTTCAAATCGAATAAAAAAAAAAAAAAATCTCAGACACTTGAATTTAGAAAACCAAATAGAATTACATTCCGAGTCGCAATATTTGGGATTGGACGAATACGGGTTCGTTGCGAAACAAGAGCATAAGATTTCGCTGAGCTCTCGATCGGGCAGTATACTATACTAAATTAGGAGATAAAGAACAAACACGCGATTGTCGGTTGGCCAATTGCCGGCTTAACGAGGCGTGCAGAAAATTCGAACGATGCGTCAAGGTGAATACGAGATGAGTTTCACTTCTCGGAGAAAAGGGAGCTTTCGAACGAATCGCTCTCCTTCGCAAGCTCCTTCCCCCCTCCCCATTCGAGCGTCTCTTACTTTCCTTCGCGTGCCAGCAATCGTACGTAAATCGTAGACCGACCATTATTTATTTATACAGCGATTCTCTCGGAAAGGAATCTCCAATTTTCTTTTTTATCTCAGTGCACACTTTTTTTTTTTTTTTTAAGAAAGAAGGAACATTAGATTTCGCGTTTAGAATCTCGAATCGTTTTTTTTTTTTTTCTTTTTTATGAGGAAAGAAGGAAGAGAGATTGATTTGTGTGTAATTTTTGAACAAATCTTTGAAAGCGAATATTAAATTGGAAACGATAACGTGAATAAAAATTTATTTATGATAACGATATCGCGAGGAAAAAGAAAAATATTTCTTCAGCCAATATATCAAATAATCGTGTAAACGATAAGAACGACGATTTTGTTTGTCCCGGTAGCTTTTCTTTATTTTTTTGCGTCGTTCGAACGACGAAAACGATGATTCTTCTATTCCGTTTTTTTTTTTTTTAATTATCGACTTGTTATAATTATATACGCGTGTCGACTTTCGTATTCGCTGAATCATTAAACGAGTTCGATTTCGTTCGTACAATTTTGAATATGCGAATAAATTAATATCACAGTTTAAAGAAAATTGAATTATATTTTATTATAAGTATATTTTATTATATTTTATTATATTTTATTTTATTTTATTTTATTTTTATTTTATTTTATTTTATTTTATTTTATTTTATTTTATTATATTTTATTATAAGTATATTTATATTTATAAGTATATTTTAAGTATATTTTGAAAGAAAAAAGGAAATAGATAAAGTAAGAAGAGTTTATACGATTTAATGGATAGTGTATTATTGAAATTATTCTGTCAATTTATAATTAATTATTTTTAATTATATACCGAAAGTGGAATGAAGGAATGAGTCGTTTTATAAGAATCATCTTTTAAATACTCGTTTCCAAGTTGTCTTTAAAATAAGCACGGAGAAAGCACTGTTTATCGAAGAGTTTCCCGCAGAAACGAAAGAGTTTCGCAACGTGAAGCATGTTATTGTCGAATATTCTGGAAAAATATCAATATTTCTGCTGAGAGAGCACCTTGGAATAGATATGCACCGTTTTCACATTTGGATGAATATTTTTATGCAAATTCAATTTCCATTTACTCTGTATCGAAGTATCTCTTTTCTTTTTTCAAATTCAATTTCGAATTCGTTTTGAAGCTGCAATATTTTTCGAATTTTCCTTCATTCGACGTATTATTCGTATAAAATAACGTTCGAATCGATTCATTAATTCTTGAAACAAATTACAATTTCAAAGAATCGTCCTCCCCTCGATTTCAAATTTTTCTCAAAATCAGGGAAGGTGAGATAGGAAAGTTCAAATCATGGGCAGGTTTTCCACGCGGATGGAATTGAAAGATAGAGGTCTGCAGCCACCCTTTTTGTTGTCTTTCCCACTTTAACGCGGTTTTAACCGCAACCTTTCACGACTCTCTCCCCGCGAATCGATCGAGAAACTCCCTTTCGCATCGTTGTTCTTCCACCTTTCGTTCTTATCTTTTCGAAGGAAAAAATTAAACAATTGAACAACTTCTATGGTTGTTATTGGAAAAATTTGACTAGATTGTTGGGCTCATTGTAACGAGGTTTTTTATTGAAAACTGGGGATGAAATTGGATATTTTGTTTTGATAGTTTCTGTCGAAATATGGAATTTTATTTTACGTTTTTTCGACGTTTGGAAATTTATTATACGATCTGTGATTAAAAAAAAAAAAAAATCGGAGAGTTTTCGAAAGTTTGAAATGGAAAATAGATCGATAGATTTTATATTTTCGATATCGAGTGATTGAAAATTAATTTTGGTTACAAATTTTTCGATATTAGAAAATTCAATTTAAAAACTTTCGAGATAGGAAAGAATTACGAGAGGAGATAATAAGTGTTTGCTTGCTTCAATCATCTCACTTTTGTGCAATTTCTTTATATAAAAATCTCGACGAAATGAAAACCGTCGAGCGGTAATAAAATATTCACTTTCAAACTTTCCAACTTTTAAAAACATTTTTCACAACGCAAAAACTATCTTATAATTTTTCCATTATAAATTACTCCTCCTCTGTCCACAACAAAACCTTTGCAATCCCCTGTAAAGAATACCTCTTTTTATCCTATTATTATTTCTCTCTCTCTCTCTCTCTCTCCAAGAAATCTCACTGTTTCGACGATGTTCGACTCCCCAGCCAATCTCAAAGGGAATGAAAATCCCCGATCGTGGCACTAACGTTATCTAACGCCAAGACACGGCATTGCGCCTGGAACTGGTTTACTCGCGAGTCGCCATTTAATCCGCGGCGTGGGCCGTGGTTTCGCCACGAGTAAAAGGATCTCGCCCCTCGTTTTCCACACGCTCGTGAAAAATATCGAAAGAGCGCGGAGTGATCGAGGCAAAAACGTTCCCCTCCCTCGGTTATTAAATTTGTTTAACCCTTTAAGTGTGTTATAAATTGTATAATTAAGATAAATAATAATTTAAATAATTCATAAATTTAACAACTAATTAAATAACCTAAAAATTTAATAACTAAATAATTTATAAATTTAATAACAACAATATTAAACAACACTATTAATTTTTGCTAATGTCAAATAGTGTGGCTGCTAATAAAATAAAAATGAAATAAATGCAAGAAAAGAAAATGTTTTAAAATGAAGTATCACTTCATGATGATATAATTTAAAATTAGAACGTATATATTTTCATTTTAATTTTCGTGTAAAATCCATACTTTGTCGATCGTGTTTTTTATTTTTTTTATACGATATTTTCTTACTTTCTATACTTTTCGTAATTTATAAAATAATTAGAATTATATTGGCTAGTATTATGATTCGATTTTAGTAAAATACTTTTTTTTTTAGAACGATCGACTGTGGTAAAAATACTCGCAGTTGAATGGTTAACGAGCAACGAGGAGTTAGTTATATTTTCGCATCGCGTTATTACACCGCGCCGTGTCATTATTGCTTGCTTGGACGCGATTATGTTGCCTAATTACGCGAGGAGAGTAAGCACAAAAAAAGGGAAATGGAAATAAAATATTTTTATATCAAGTCTAATACAATGAGTAATTAGTTGATCTTTTTTGATGAACAATTTCGTAATGATAAGAAGATCGATATAAATAATGAAGTATCGTAACGAATTACAAAAGATTCTTCATATTTACAGTGTAATATTCATAAGAAATATTTGAACGTTTTTATTAAAATAGAAAACAAAATAATAAGCAATAATAATAATAATATTTTTATTTTACAGCCATGAGCTTTAACGATTCGTGAAGAAAATGGAATTCTCTCGTAATTAATTTCATAATAATGACGTATTTTTACTTCTTCATTCCTTGAAGCCGTTGAAGCTCTTTTTCCTTTCGATTCTTTTTAATATTCGAATTACATCATGTAACTAATCATATTATGAATAATTCTTATTTGAAACACGGTACATATATATATATATATATACATTCCTTTTTCCTATTGTGGACGGTATTTTCATACTTATCCCTCTTTTGTAGGAGACTGCACGATATACCGTGGTCGTTTTCGTGATGATTGTTCGCTTCATTTCCTGCATCCTGTTATCTCCTTGCAGCTCTATCGATCGGCCATTGTCCGCGTTTTTTCTGGGAATAATAAACGGGCGCGGCCCAATTTGCTTTCAAACGTGCCTCTCTTTCGTTTTGAACTTTGTTTTAAACCCGTGTTTCTATGCAACACGGAACGGATGCCAATGATGCATCAATGGATCGATCCTCGTTGCGCGTTTCAACAACGGATTAACACGTTCACTGCCACGCGTGTTCCTAAAGAAATCTCCTTCAGGTCAAGCGTACTTCAGTACTTGTACCGATATTTTAGTAATGCGAGTGTGGTGGTCGCAAGAATCATGTCTCGCATCATTTGTTTCCATTATTACTGTTCACGTCTGCAATAGAATATTGAGAATAGTAATTGTATTGATAATAGTATTGATTTATATAGTATATTTTGGATATTTTAATTTGGATTATAATATGAATGCCCTTCGACTAATCGTAACAAATACACTTCTTAGTTGTGACTTGCATATAAATTATTCGTGGCTTGTCTATTAGAGACCAGGATCTCTCACAATTACTGTTTTGCGCAATAAAAGTATTGAGAATAGTAATTGTATTATAGTATAGTATATTTTGGATATTTTAATTTGGATTATAATATAAATGCCTTTCGACTAGTCGTAACAAATACACTTCTTAGTTGTGAATTGTATATAAATTATTCGTATGGCTTGTCTATTAGAGACCAGGGACTTCTCACAATGTCACAGCAGATAATCGTGTCTGATGATTAGAGTAGAATATATTCATAAACTAATTGTCGTATCACCATGAGACTCGTGATATTAAGATTAAAAGATTTAGAGAATTATTTAGAGCTGCAAAATTGTTAGGATTATTTAAAAATACAACGAAATCTTGTCAAAACCTTCAACGGAGTCAACATAATATCGTAGTTCGAAAAAATAATTCTATTATAAGTATAAGTATTAGATTGCATGCAAATTATGTTATTCGGATAAAAGACGATAAACGGATCGATCAAACGCAAAGGAATTTAAAAAAGACAATAATTTTTTATCCAAATTGTTTGGATTGTTAACCTCAGCTTTGTGTAGAATGTTTTGAAATTTTACATTCAAAATAATTTTTTTATTATTTTTATAATAATTTAATAGTTTTATTACAGAATATCTTTCCAAATACCTATGAAGATCGTTCATAAGTGGTCAAATAAGTGAATAAGTGATAAGTTCGAAATCTTATTTTTGCATCGTGGACGATAATTTTTTTCCAAGAATGGAAGAAACGTATTGCAATTTGGAAAAGTAATTGAGTAAACGATAAAAATTATCTTTGCACGTGTTCTATTTGTATTTTCCTTATCGCTTCGACCGAGTGTAAAAAAATAGATTACGGATGTTTATCCAAAATCAAAATTTTTATCGACGATGTTTGAAGAAACGGATTCGTTCCACGAATATCGCTATATTTTTTTTTCTCGCGTGTTATCTGCTCTTTATAAATTTTTCTACTTTCAAATTTTGCATAATTGAAAGCCGCAATCTAGAAAGAAGATCAAGCAAGGAATTAGGAAGAAAGCAATTATATAATAATTAATAATTCTAGTTCTTTCGATATTAAAATTTTTGAAATCTCTTATGTCAGACAATAGAAAGTATAATAATTACACGTGGTAACATTTAAGACACGAAATATTTTCAATTGCAACTCATTGTGAAAGGATTTAATAATCGTCTGTTATCGTGGAAATGACAACAAAATTTCAACGTGAAGATTTTACAATTTTTAAAATTTTTAAAATTTTCTCGCAACGAGAAGGGGGATGGAAAAGGGGTTGTGATTCTGTCTCGTTGAAACTTGAAGTTTTTTTCCTCAACATTTTAAAGAAAGAAGAAAGCGTTGGAGATTTAAAATATTATCGCGATAAAATAAAGAGTCGAGTAGAAATTAGTTCCTTGGTTGGTCTCTCGGTTGGGAAGAGTCGAGGCGAAAGATAGATAAGAAGAAGGGTAATTGATCGATACTTTTTCTATATAGCGGTGGAAAAATTGAAAGGCCACGCGGATAGGGTTGAAAAGGTTGCTATAGGAACCATAAGCATACCTGTGAACTTTTTATCGCGTTATCTCATCGATATTCAATCCCCGTCTTTGAAAAGTTCGATCGATGTAAAAAGAATCCGTATACCCCCTTGATACCTAGCTCGAGATATCGATAATTTCGAATTTTCAAAATTATTGCTTAAACCGATAAGAATTTTCGATAAAAATTAGAGCGTTAATTAATAATATTGGAGATAGAAACATTGGGAATAGATTATCAAGAAATCGTTTAAAACTATGAAGAATGAAAATTAGAGATATTCCAAAACCAAAGATCAATAATAAAATACTGAATAAACTGTAATACTATCGATAGATATCACCGTCGGTAACCGCTACAACCGCTGAATTCTTTTCAATTCACGCATCGACT